CAAAGAGCCCGCAGGCACACCCCGCCTCGCCTTGTTAAAGTTATGATGTGAATTTTGTCTCTAAGTCATAGCTCATGTTCAGTTTAGAAGTTTACAGTGTCCTGAATCAACATTTCCATTCAGAAATGTCACGGCATAAACAGTCTGGTCTGACCACACTGCTTTTAACTTCCTTGTGGAAAACACCTTCCCTAGATCATGGGGTCATTTGCATCACGTCAACAACGGTTTCAGGCCTGAGCACTAATCTTCTGCTGATCGGAACACATCCACAGATACCGTGATCAGGTTCAGTTATGATGTGATGTGCGAGATCAGAGATCATGACGAGAACATGGCTGTGTCAGAGATCATGACAAACAGATTTTATCTGCTGCAGTGTAGAGCGCTCAGGATCAGGCAGGAAGAAGTTAAAGGCCTGCAGCTCGTGCTCGTGTCTGTGGGGCAGCTGGTCTGGAGGGAGGGGGTCCTAAATTATTAAACCCCAGCAGAAACAGGGCAGCATGTAATAGACGCAGAGCAGTGCCCTGCTCACCTCCTGTACCGCACCGATTTAGCTGCGGCCTATGCGGACACGCTAGCGTCATTTCCAGGATGACTCTTCTTTATCAATTTTATGGAGACATTTGTTCTTTTTCTTTCTTAAACTGATAAATGTGGATATAAGGCATTATGTATGCGTTATGGACCTTGATCGTATGAATTTCTTTAACGATGCTTTGAAATGGTGTGTATTGTGAGCAGTCTGGGGTCCTGAAGCGGTAAAACAAAGCCTATTGATTATAAAAGAAAAGAAAAAAAATCCTTCACATCTGCACAAACTTCCTGTATCAACAGGAAATACATCAACATAGGAAAGAAGACTGTGCTTGTCAATTCATTTCATGTGGTCTTCAGGCCAATATGCTGTAAAAAGATGGTTTGTTTTTGAGGTCCTGCTTAATGTTTCAATGCATTAGCAGGCTCTACAGGAAGCTCTTCCAGTCAGATTTCCTTCCTGTCCTCTACAGAAGTCCACCCTTCAGTGTCAAGAGAAAAACACTGTACAGTCCTCCGGGTTTTAGGCTTTATTCTGTGATTTCACAGAAAAATAATTTTATCTAACACCTGTTCATCTTACTTTTTTTGAAATGTAAAATGACTTCAATAAGCAAATTGGCTAAATATACAGCCATCATCAACATCATCATCCATCTGTAAATCCCTATGAAATCCATTAGATTTTTTCCCCAAATTCTTTTACTTTTTTCTGTTTTAATTTTTCGGGATTCGATTTTTTTTCTTTTCTTTTCTTATATCAATTTTTTGATCAAGTTTTAATGGTTGAATTAAATGTTATTAATCAAAAAGCATGTCTAATTAATTCAAATAATGAAACTTACAATATTAAACAGACATTTACTAAAAGTGTAACAAATTAAATTAAGGCCTTATGATTTTGATTTATGATTAATAATTTTATTATTAGTCGTAGTACTATCGTTACATTAAGCAATATTTCTATCACCGTTTCTTCAAGTTAAGCTGAACTTTTTTTTTTTTTTGATGGGTTGCTGTAAAGTCCTTTAGGTTTCTGTTTGTATATGATATGATGATAGTTTTACTCCAAATAAACGATAAAATGCTCAGGATCCAAGCATATTTGGTGGTTAGCAAAACAGCAAAATATCGAAGGTGTTGTAAATACAGCTATTCTAGTGACAGATTTCTTGATTGCAGTTGTATATAGGTGATATTTTCACTCAGAAATAGAAGTTGCATCTGCATTTAGGTGTATTTACACAGACTGTTTAATGCAGCTTGGAGGTGGCATAAATGCATTTACACTGCAATTGCATTAATAATGCAGTGAGATTAATGTTATAAAAAATATAATTGAGTAATGTTAAATCACTTAAATTATATTTTAGATATAAAATTATGGCAGAAAGTCATTGTCTTAATGGGTGAGTTATTGAGTCATTCATTCAAAATATTCACTCAAATGGAATGAAGCAGTTGAGTGTCTTTATGAGTGGTTCATTGAATCATTCACATTCATGTAGGGTTGGGTACCGAACTCTGTACTTTTAAGGGTACAGACCGAATTGCGTTGGTACTACTGAGTACTGATTCACGTTAAATCAATCGGTGACAAATTTCGGTACCTGACAACGCATCTGGGCGCATACGCTACAGTAGGGCTGGACGATATGGCCAAAATTTATATCACGATATATTTCTTAATTTCGGTCGATACTTTTATAATTCCGATATCGATATAAACACTATTAAAAAAGCCTCATAAAAACTGCCAAGAACGGCCACAACAGATGTCTGTACCTACAAACATATGAAAAATTAATTTGCCAACTCTATGAAACGATTATGAAACGAACTATGAAACCATCTCCTATAAAACTATATAATATTTTAGGAAAAAAATGGCGCAAATAAATAAATGTTCACCCTTTATTGGTATTTAGCCTTCATACAAACAAGAAATGTGAAATCACTGGCAAATAAATCTCAGACAATCCTTATTAATATTAATATTTTTTACTTCAAACTATAGGCTAACATACCAGTCAAAAGTTTTTGAACAGTAAGATTTTTAATGTTTTTTTAAAGAATTCTCTTCTGCTGACCAAGCCTGCATTATTTGATCCAAAATACAGCAAAAACAGTAGCATTTTGAAATATTTTTACTATTTAAAATAACTGTTTTCTATTTGAAAATATAATTTATTCCTGTGATTTCAAAGCAGAGCTTTAGCATCATTACTCCAGTCACATGATTCTTCAGAAATCATTCTAATATTCTGATTTGCTGCTCAAAAAACATTTATTATTTTGATGTTGAAAACAGCGGAGTAGTTTTTTTTCAGGTTTCTTTGATGAAGTTCAGAAGAACAGCATTTTTATCTGAAATAGAAATCTTTTGTAACATTATAAATGTCTTTATCATCACTTTTGATCAATTTAAAACATCCTTGCTAAATGAAAGTAATTTCTATAATATAAATTTTAAAAAGAGCTTTTGAATGGTATAGTGTATAATGTTACAAAACCTTTTTATTTCAGATAAATGCTGATCTTTGGATCTTTCTATTCATCAAAGAATCCTGAAAAAATTTACTCAACTGTTTTAAATATTGATAATCAGCATATTAAAATGATTGCTGAAGGATCATGTGACACTGAAGACTGGAGTAGGCCTAATGATGCTGAAAATTGAGCTTTGATCACATGAATACATTACATTTTAAAATATATTCAAATAGAAAGCAGTTTATTTCAACTTATTTAATTAAGTTTATTTAACAGATAAAACTTACTGGAAAGTGCAAATGCAACTATATTAAACAACATTTTAACATGATGAACATGCAACAACTGTTCAATCAAAACATGTAAATGAATATTACTATTTACTATTGTGTATGCACGTTATATTATAAGCTTTATGGGCTGGATTTCTGTATGGTGAAGGTTCTGTTATGGTTTCTGTAAAAAGTTGATGAAGACTTCATTTTCTTCATATCTGACATCTGCGTTTACGCATCAGTGCCAGTATTGGGTGCTTTTGCAAAACGCAAATGTAAGAAACTTAGGTCCAAGATGATGATGACGATGGTTATTACTATTTATCTTAAGTTATGATTACAAATTACTTTATTTGAATGTGTTTGAATGTATTTTCATTTGCCAGGATGATAGAATTGATGTCATTACGTGATGACATAAAAGAACCAGTTCATTGAAACGAACTGTCCGAAAGAACCGGTTCGCGGCAAAGAACCGGACTTCCCATCACTAGTATGAATGGCGGAAACGCGGTTTTGTTTACTACACAAATACTGAAGCACGCGTGATGCTCGCAGTGATTTTTGGCCTCTGTGTCTCACTATATGACGGCATGAGCACAAAAACCTAATCTCCAGAGCTGCCGTGAGAGTCACTTCGCGAGAATTTTACCGTTTCATTTGAGAAAACTAGCATCATCATACTGTATACACACAGAAACTTCATGGCAACCTATCAAAATAAAAGTACGGTTTAACATATAACAGAAATATATTACTCTTGTATTACTTTTGTACAGTATAATGTACATCTTTAAATAATTCAATTTTCTATCAAATTTAAATAAAACAATTAAATGATAAAAATAAATCTTACAACCTGATTAATCACTTAATTGTAGAAAAAAATAATACAATTATTAGCTTATTAAACAATGTTTTAAAGGAATATTCACACAATTTTTCTTCCATGTATTAATTTCAACAGTAAACCTCAGTTTGTTTGCCAAAAATAAAAGGGTTTAATTTTCATTTGATTTAAAATAAATGTTTAATGCCTTCATTTGATTTTCAGAAAAATTCAAACAAGAATTTCGGGAGGAAAAAAAAAAAAGAAAGGAAAAAGTTTGTAGGGCCTTATTGTTCAAAATGTTGAAATTGAGACTTTTGGACTTATTTTTTCACTGAAATAAATGTTTTTGTAATTACACAGAGAGTAAAGTACCAAAAAAGGTGCCGTTGGGTACTGGCACTGAAATTCAGGTACCGATACCGTACCGGTTAAAATGTGAACGGTACCCAACCCTACTCACATGTTTTATTCAGAAACGCTCATGTTTCAGAAAATTGAGTCTCAGTTTTTTTTACTTTTTATATTGGTCCAAATATTTACGTTAGGAAATTGGCTGAGCATAAAAGCAGTTGAATTTGAGAGGGCTTTTTTTTTAATCCCCCCCTTTTTTTTTATAGTTTTTTTTTTTTTACTGAGTTATGCTCATGCGTTTCTGGTTAGGTCATATTCGTTGTGTATGTCCAATGACTTGGTGTTTTTGTGAAAATTATGAGCAGATTGGGTTTGCTCTGTAGTTTATTTTGACGGTGAATGTGTGTAGTTTTAGAGTGAGCAGTGTTGTTGAGGTGAAGGTAAAGCCGTATATTGATGCGGCCGCTGACCCTGTATTAGCAATATTAACATGACACTTTATCAGCTGGATTATGTGCGGCTTAAACCGCATCTCTGCATCTAAACGTGGAGCCAGCCAATCAGCCGCTGCCGTTCTGGTGAGGCGTTTATCCAGTGTAGATCCATTCAGAAGGTCTTTGGCCGTTGGAGGCACGGGAGCTGTGTCTGGGAATACAGAATCCAGGTAAGGCTTTACTTTACCTCTAGAAATAAGATGGCACACCTGAGGGAATGGCACCTTAATAGTGTACTTTTTTGGCAGCATAGGACTTTTGATGGCTTTTTGTATTCAGATGGACGTTGTGTGTGAGTAGGACTAGTTGTGCTGAATTAGACAAGATATTACTACTGTAGTCTTTCTGTTGGAGTGTGTCCAAGCAGAAGGATCACTCAAAGATTCACACTAGTTACTAAAGTTGGTCAGATCTCATGTTCTTGTTCATTTTGACGTGCGATGCGAGTGAAAGTGTCGGCAGTGGATTTGGGTCAGCAGGAGAGTTCATCAGCAGATTTGGTGTTAACCGGATTTGTGCGGACGCGCTGAATCAACTGTGTCCCTGGATTACAGGAGTGACATTGAGAACGGGACGCGGTCCATGTCTGTGTCCACTCACACTTTCCTCTGCTCTCTCTGATCACCCAACCAACTCTTGACCCATATAACTCAAGCTTTTACCTCTGGATTTCTTTCTTTCGGTGAAGTACAGAAGGGGTACGGTATGTTTTCGTTATGGCTTTTAATAGTTTAAATGGGTAGGGCGAGGCATTGTTACCTATATGAAGAGAAAAATATCTGTGATTGTGTTGCCAATTAGGTTGAATATGTTTATTTCAAAGAGAAAAAAAAAGCTAGTAAAAATGAGACGCTAGTAAAACACTCATACTGACAAGTCAGGGATGAGAAAAGATCATGAAACCAGTCTTAAACTTTTTATAATGACCACAATGGACAAATAAAAATTTTGTCTTGATGTTCACATTGACCCTGTATGTGAATGCAGCTTATTCCAGAGTTTTTACAGAAAGCAGCTTTGTGAAAAATCATATAGACATGAACACCGTTTAACTTGCACCGTTTAAGCGATTAACAGAAAGTGGTTTTACATGTGGGTTTCTGTCAGAGTGCAGCCGTTTATAAGGCCTGTTCACACCAACACAAACGTTAAGCACAAAAATTCAGTCCGGTTTTTTGCATGCTATTTGTCAGTTCACACTAGGGACGGTCTTTATATGTAATCCATTTGAAATAGCCTACTTAATCTCAAATTTAAACAGTCAAATATCATATTGTGTTGCTAAAAATGGGTCCTATAACATTAAATGTGGTTGTCTTACATTATGATCATTGTACAGTACACTTAAGCGTCCTTGCTACATTTCTGTGCCTTGATCGTGTAAGGACCCTTGCTGTCTATGGAGGGTCAGAGAGCACTCAGATTTAATAAAAAATATCTTAATTTGTGTTCTGAAGATAAAC